GTTGTTAAAGAATGACAAAAGAATTGTATCATCTACTGTCTAGATGTCATTAAAAAGTTTCATATTAGATTTAAGCTCTTAACATAAACATTCACAAGTGATCCAATGTAATTGGCCTTGTTTCTGAAATGCAATATTTTAATTTACATGAGACAATTCCAATCTGAAGTTTTTTTCACTAACAAAAGACAAAGAAAGAATGCTAATAAATTGAATATTGTCTGAATTATGTTTAATAGTAGTGAATGTAATAAACAAGTTGTTCATACTTCTTAAGATGAAGCATTGACATTATTATTAACTAGTCTACCCAAGCCATCAAAAGTGACAGTGATTGTTAGAAAGTTTTAATACTGAGATTTAATGAAACAAAAAATCTTGAAACAATGAATTGAGATTCAATAGAGCAGAGATAAAGAATTCACAACAAAAATAGAGGCCAATGAACCATTTAATTAATCCATTCTTTGTATATTTTTAGACAGCCAATGATATCTATGATTCAGTGATTATTCCTGGTATCATATATCATTTTTGTTCAATATCTTTTCATGCTAAAATTTTATGTTTAATACAACAGTGAAATAGAAATATCTGTTGGAAGAAAAGATTAGCAACAGAATAACAAAGACGGTGACAACAAAGCCTATTTCAAGACCAAGTTGAAACAAGACAGTCACTTAATAGACTAATGTATCTGAGTGCCCCCCATGAAAGGCTTGATCAAATAAAACTGCAATTTAAAAAATGAGAGAGTAATAGGTACTGATTAATTAAATGGTTCATTTTGCTTGGGAACAAAATTCCGATTTTTTTAAAATCATTTAGGAACTGGGGCTCCTATTCATAATATAAATACAGTGGAAAATTGATCTCTAACTTCATAAAAGAATTATCTATACTTTGTTTTTATTTATAAATGTTAACTTTGAAACTGAGCTAATGTCATTGGTAACTGTATACTAATGGTGTCATTCTTTTCACAAGTCATAATAGTACACATCAATGATGCAAGAACAGTTTCAAACTTGGTATTTGTAAATAAAAACAAAGTGCAGATAACTCATTTGTGAAGTTAGGGATTGATTTGATACTGTATTTAAATTATGAACAGGACCATCCATCTAAAATGATAAAAAAAAAAAAAATCAATATTTTTTTATTTTGAAAAATCTTGCTTGTAAGGGAAAGACTAATAAATGCCAATTTATAAAATTTGTTAAAAAAAAATTCTTCTGTGTTTTTTAAGAGTGGACCACTTAATTTAAGTTGTACCATTTTGTTTTTTAAATGCATTCTTGTCATTTGCTAACAACAGATAAAAAAATCTAGAAAAATACTAGCCATACATCTCTTAGTGCTATGTCCCTTCAGGATGTAGGCAATTATGGTTTGCCACAGCTTTCCTCTCTTCGACATCTGTAAATTACACATTATCATGAATGTTCTTGGGAAAGTGGAGTGGTTCACCTTCTCTGTAGTTTTGAACTAAGTGCTGGTGTTGTCAACTTGTTGCCCTTCTAAAGCTAGAGAGCCTAGTCTGACCTAATATTTTACCTAGAGAAGAGCTGGAGTTATGCCTTTCCTTAGGTTATTAGTGTGAAATGAATGCAACAGTCTTTGTTGAAATTGGAATTCAGCCTATTGATACTATTTGTTTTACATCAATGACTATTAATCCACCCACACATCTGCGACATTAAAAAAAAAGTTAAAAGAGTTTACAAAAACACATCCAAATAAATAACTTAGCCTTTCCCACTTGCAACAGCTGTGGAAGAAAACATCAAATTTAGGCTAATTTTATTGATGTGCTTAATACCCCTTCTTATAAATGAAGACAAAAATGCAAATATTCACTTAGTCAAATCAAACAAAACAACAATAAAATATGTCACTTCAATACTGATGGATTTTCTATGTTTTACGCTTGTAGAATAAACTAGATTTTACTGATAATACATTACTTGATGTTGGGTAAAATTTGGGATTTCCAAAGTGGAGGGTATTGCTTCCCCCCACCAAAAAAAAAAACACCAGAGTGGTGGAAATATCCATATGCACAGTAAGGAAAAGGTGAAAGTAAGGGATGGCAAGGTGCATTGAAACCAAGTAATATTTTCTTTTTTTCTTAAAAAATCTATATGATAAATATTAAGTCACTTAAACTTAAGGAACATACATGCTTTACAAAAGCAATGTTCTTAGTCCTGAAATGGCATCTCAGCTTCAGTCACTTTCCTACCAGCGTAACATAGCTTCCCTGTGCCTGTTCTATAAATATTTTCATGGTAATTATTCTGATGAATTTACTGCTATGGTACCTAGACTTTATGAATTCAAGTGCAGTACTGGATTGGCTTCAAGGTATCATCAATTTGCAGTTGAATTTGTTAGATGCAACCATAATTTCTATACTAACAGTTTCTTCTCTTGCACTCTCTTCCAGCTCCATATTTTCTAGCCAATTTTGATCTTCAAAAAATTAAATGCAATGTCAATCATTATCTACTGTCTCCTTGATTCCTCTTCTTTTATTGTTCTCACTTCTTAATACAGTTTCTCTTTTTACCTAGTCTTTCACACTCAGTAACTTCTAGTGTCTTAGTGGATTTACTGCCTTGTTTGGGGTGAAATGATTAAAAATATATATATATATATATATATATATATATATATATATATATATAAAATAAAATTAATGTAAGAGTTATATATAAATGCATGTTTTTTTTTTGTTGTCTGAAGTTAAAAGTACAAATGTTTGTATCTTGCTGAGGTTATATGGACAGAAAGCACCACATAGAAGCCAGATCAGACAACTAATATCTGCAGAGTTCAATGCTCTAGGTTTGTAAGTGTAGCAATACGGTCTTCATTTTTTTCTTACTAGCCATTTTTCTAACTTCATTCAAGAGAGAAATGAAATTTTAGTCCTTTTTTTGAGAAATATGTAAAATTTACGTTTTTATTAAAAACATATGTACATATATTGGAATCTAATTTATAGATAAAGTTAAATGTGATATGATTAGTTAAAATAGCAATATTAAATATTGATTTGTATGTACAAATCAGTATAGGTCACTGGGAAGTAGGCATCTCAGAACAGTAAGAGAGAGCAGTCTTTTGATAATGTATAGTAACATAATGCTTTAAGAGATGAAAATTTGTGTGCATATATATATATATATATATATATATATATATATATATATATATATATATATATATATATATATAAATGTGTGTGTGTGTGTGTGTGTGTGTGTGTGTACGCACATAGTCGAGTAGTTAGAAAATTTGCTTGAGACTCAGGTTTGCATCTCACCATGGTCAATTTGTCAAGAAAGTGATTTTATGTTATCAGCCTGGAGAGGTGATTCCAGAGTGTAACACAAATGGAAAGTGCCTGAAAATGATGACACAGGTTGACCCTAAGCTGTGAAATTGGGTTGACAAAACTGTTCAGGGGATGTCAGTAGTTGTGCTAGCATGAAGTTACAGTTATTGTGACTGAGGATTTGTTTTGTACTGGCCTTATTTAAACTGTTGATCACACCAAATTATTCATTCTCCAACAGAAATTGTAACTAATATTTGCATTATAAATCACAGATGAGCTCTGTGGGTGTTGAGCCGATGAGTGTGATTGTGTTATGGTCCGGTTCCTTGTACCACGGTGATAGTCCAAGGTAAAACCAATAAAGAAGAACTCGAACACAGGTATGGACTAACACAGATATATTACAAACAGGAATATATACAGAGAAGTAGAAGTGTTAGTATGAACAATCAGGTTTAGTAGAGAGAACAATGTAGTCTCAACCAGTATCACTATTCCAATGTCTTGCAGTAATTGTCTGAATGCGACTCTGTTTTGGACTGCTTCTGACTCAACTCTTGACTTGACTTGACTTGAACTACTGACTCTTTGCCTACCCATAAGGCACAGTATTTATTAAGTATGGAATAGTCCATTATTACTATTATGGGTAAGATCCCATAACAGATTGGTAACAAGTGGCCAGCCATATATATGGCCTGAAGATTGCGTTCAAGCATGAAACATACTGTTGTCACTCAGTTTTGACTTCAGTATCCACTTTTATATTTACATATCCTCTATCCCCAATATTGAGGACTTTTACCTGTAAATATAACATACTGTAAAACTATATTTTTACCACATTATATATAATCTGATTATTCAAATCATATGTGGCACAAGCAGTCTTCAATTATCTTGGCCGGTTCTTGTTATTGGATCAAGGCTGCCTGATGCTGAGAGTACATGTAATATTGTACAAACCATGAATAACTATAACCAATTGCATAGATACCATCAGGCTTCCAGAGGTTAGTAGGGAACCACCTCATCTCCTGTGGGTAGTTAGGTGGATTTTTCTTATGCCGTGAATGAACAGTCATAACACATACACACACACAGGCCAGAACATGGATTTTTAGGACTAACTTGCAAACCACTGATTTAGCGCAATCCACCAGTGATGCTAAGAAGAAGCAAAGATTGATTGATTTGTTTTCTACGGCTTATCAGATAATAATGGTTTTGTGATACAAGTCTTAATAATTATCCCATAGCTGGGAGGAGAAGTGGTGGATTCTTACCATTCTCAAGGGTTTTTGTATGTAAATGAATATAATGAATTTCAAGTTAGTAATGGATAGCAGCTCAGATTGAGGAATCGGAGAGCCAAGTTTGAATTCCAGTTGAATTCATTACATTCACTTATGTACTAATACCCTTGGGAAAGGTATGAATTCTCTTCTACTACCCCCCCACCCTCAGTTATGGGTAAATAGCAGGACAGGTCAGGTTCTATAGCCTTGGATGGCAACTGGTCTACCACAGAAAGAAATGGCAACCTACTGTGGGAAAAAATTTGCCTTGTCAGTCATGTATCAAAAGATACATGATCGCCTAAGCGTGTATCACGCATGGCAAATAACTGACTGACTCAACCTGCACATCCAAGCTCGCAACACCTAGTATTCACAAGTGCTCACCCATCTAGGTACTAACCAGGCTTGACATTGCTTAACTTCAGTGAATATATGGAAAGTGGTGTTTCAACATGATATGACTGTAAGCCAAGTGCATATTATTTTAGGCAGTTCACAAAGCCATTCTGGGCAATATCAAATTGCTTGCTTGTTTCATTTCATGAAATTTGTAGACCATTACATGGAAGTAATTATTTTTGTGTATATGCCTTCTTTGTGGATCCTACATATGTGCATACACACACACAATATATATATATGTACATACATACATACATACATACATACATACTCATACCTCTACTTAGAATGCTATTTACAAGGACATCAACCAAGTGGTGACTTCCAGTTGTTTTCATTGACCTTATAAATGTGGAAGTTGTGTCAATTCAACCTGAACTACTTCATTGTTCTTCAGTTTCAGTCTCTACCCAAATTTAATACACTTATGACCCTTCTTTTTTTGGCTAAAGTATAATTTAGAATATAACCTTTGTGTGGGTGTGTGTAAAAAGATAAAATCTCAGTAAATTAAATATATCCATTTTCAATAATAATAAAACTGCAAATTTGATTGTTTAATTTTCAATAAATAAGCTATTGACAAGTTTGAGTCCTGTAACCAGGTTTTTAAGATTAATTATTCATACCATTAGCCTATTTCAGATGTTACAAGCTTTTTCTTTTCTATATTAAATCTATCTTCTTAATTCCTGTTCTTTTTTATCATTCTTGCTCCTTAATTTCTTTTTCTTATATTCTTTCACACTCAGTAAACCTCTACATCTTAGTGGCTTTATTGCTTTGCTTGGACGTGAAATGATTAAAAAAAGAAAAAAAAAATTGAATCTATACAGGGTAGGTGTTTGTATGGGTAAGAATTTTAAAGTTCATGCCTTTTCATAAAGTATTTTCCTTGAATTTAATGAATCAAAATTTTAGACTTGATTAATCTCATTCTGTATCAGTAAATTGAATTGGATTATGATGATTTAAGGCTGCCACATTTTTCTGTAAAGCTTTCTCCCAATGCTAACTTTGCTGAGTGAGATTTCGTAAACCCACTTTATCTGAAAAATCGCAGCGGCAAAAGCATCCACAATATTGCAATATGCGTTACATTAAATAATTTGTAGGAGATAAATTGGTGGAGAAAGGTTTTTCCTTATCTTTATTGTTTCACAATAAGGAAAAATGTGTGGATGTGCAGGTGGTGAAATGGACAGCTGCTCAGAATGAGAAATCAGAGAGCCGAGTTCGAATTCCAGTCAAGTTCACTGCATTTACAAATATCCTTGGGAAAGGTATGAATCCATCACTTTTCCCCCTATCTATGGGTTAAATAGTAGTGCAGACTGGGATCTTTAACCAGTTTAGGAGAATGACAACCCTGAAGTCAAAACCAGTTGGGTTTGAGGCTAGCAACTTCATCCCCTAAAAACCTATTACTTGCTATGGAAACCACAGAAACTATGAGTAGCATTTTGAGAACTGTGACCCCCATACTCCTATAATATAACATTTTCTTGATGGACAATGGTTACATTAAGTTATAAATAAAACATTAATCTGCTGTCAAGGGTTTCTTTTTTTTTTCTTAATGCTTACTTTATACTTTAAATAGACATGGTTGGAACAGCACTGGTTATAAAGTTAATGAATGAAATATCAAATTTCTTTTGGTAGTTTTGAAGAATAGGGTTTTTATTATATTAAGTCCTGCACTTTATTAATAATTCCACCAGTTCAGACCTTTACAGCTAGGACCCAGCATACAGTGTTAACAGTTGTAATCCATCTCCATTCCCTTTGTGATTGATTGATTGTGTGGTTCTACAGAAGGATGCTGAGGATACCAGACACAATAATGTGAACAACAAAATTTTAGAGAAAATGGAAAAAAAAAGGACACTTATACTTTATATCAGGAAGAGATAGTTGAAGTTTCTAGGGCACATGAGGAAAGAGGGCTTGGAAAATAGGATACTCACAGGATAGACTGAAGGCAAGAGGGACACCAAGAAAACAATGCATAACATACTTAGTGAGTTTGAGTAAATGGATAGCAAAACAGGGTTTAGGAGTGATAACAAAAAGACAAAATTTATTAAGAACTATGAAGGACAGGAAAGTGTGGAGAGCTATGATCGCTTATGTCCTGAAGAAACATGGCATATAATTAAGAAGAGTAACATCATATGTAATTCTTGCAATAAGCAGTTGATCAATGGAATTAAGAACTAATTCCCTCTATCAGTTTTATTTGCTTGTCTATTCGTTTCATTCTTGATCTCTTAAATAACAATAAAAAAAATCATCAGTACATTGTGAGAGTGCAGTAAGAATACACTCATTAACTTGAAAATATTCAATCCTCAAAAGCATACAAACAATGCTACAGGGTAGGTGTAGATCTTTATTACATTTAAGTAGAAAAAAAGAAGAACAGAATAAAGAAAATGTTTTCTTTTCTTGAATTAATAATATTTAGATTTACTGAAAAAAATGTCTAAAAATCTATTGATAAATTACAGAGTAATAGGAATCTATATAATACTTGAAACCTCCATTTTATGCATCTATAAGACATATATTAGCAATTGTAATATTAGCTGTTTCCTTATAAGTACGTGTGTGTGTTTATAATTATAATTTAAGAGCCCACATCCTCAAATATATATTAAAAAAAAACAAAACACACACTTTGTTTATGTCACAACACTTACTAGTTTTACAAAACTCACCATTTGACTATACCTACATAATGATGATAACTTGAGAATGTCAAAAGCTTGGACCATATATTTTCCAAAATGAACCTTAAACAATTTCTGACAGAATTTCATCCTTATCTGAGAGAGATTATTTGAGTGAACATCTTTTTTTAAGCTTTTTTTAAACAGTAAAATGTCTACCAGCCTAAAGATCAAAAGTCATACTAAAGAAAATGTGCCTCCTTACCAGAAGTGAACCTATATTCTATTTTTAAACTGTGAAAGCACTTTTAAGCTTAATGTACTTTACCATTAAGCTATGGGATGCTATCATAGAAAAAAGGGAATACAGATTTGATTTCTGTTGGGAAGTACATTTTCTTTAGTAAGACTTTCTATTATTTACACAATTTATATTAGGATTACTCTCCTCATCTTTGTTGTTGTTATCACAACGTTTCAGCCATTGTGCTTTCTGGTCTTCCTCAAGTGTATATTGATCTGGGTAACCTATAGAGAATTCTGAACGGAACCCTTTTATCAACTGTTCATGTCTTGGGATATTGTCTAGTTCTTATTTTTATTTGGTACTGTTCAGAAAAGACTTTCTCTACGCTGGAATGAATAGGAGCCATCTTTGCTTCTATGGTGTACTTTATATATAAGAAAGAGCTACAATGTATTATTACCTTGCGCAAGCATGAGTATAAAAATTATCAGCAAACTTAACCTTCATGCCTGCAAAAACCGTCATGACAAAAAGATAGTTTTTCTTTTGATACTGCTATTATTTTTTTGACTACCTTCACTCCTCAGCAATGTTTATTGTTTTAAAAAGTGATGATTAGAATTGTAATAAAACTTAAACATACGATGAAAGTGAATTTATACATTTTCTTTGTTTAGAATTTACAACAAAAATAATAAGCATTATTTATTTATTATTTACACTATTTATTGCAGGGCAAAGCAACAATAATACAGTAAAGATTTCACAAAGTAAGAATTTTGTTCTCATGCAAAAGGGATGAAGTCAAGTGGTTATAGTGTTCCGATTTCAAGGCAAGAAAGAACAAAAATGGGGCTATGAGACTAAGAATTTCCATTTCTATTGGTGAAGAAGAAATCCCAACATGCATCTGTAAGATCTGCCTATAAATTTGAGGAGAGGGATGTTCTTAGCAGTCATTCCTAGCAGATTGGGAATTATACTCTACTGTAAATTAGATCTTTTTGAATCACTTTATATGTCGGCCAGATGTGAGCACTAAGCATGCAAAACCCAAACTGAAAAAAAACTCATCCTCTGTGCATGGTCTCCGAGTATCACATCTGGCCCAATCACAAATGTTGCGACCAAAGAAAAAAGATGAATTCAGGATCCACCAGATTTGCTTTTTGAGAAAGCCATTCATAAAAGATTGCAACAGAATGTGGAAAACAGGACAGCTTTTGACGCTCGGTGGTCTCTCAACGTAAGCACCATGACTTCGGTCAATTGACCTGACATATCTGCTTGAGACTAACCACCTCTAAACATACACACCATGCCCACAGAGACATTCCACTTGCATAAGCCACTCAGTAATTATTACAGCTTTCTAAATAAACTCAATAAGCAAATCAATCATTAATATCCTTTCATCTTGTGATTCTGGTTGATTTCATTCTGTATCCTTTATGATATTGCTTACTATTAATTTATCTTACAGCAAAACTGCATACATCAAAAGGCAAATTCAGGTCAGGCATCCGTTATATTTGTTATGTATATTAATGTATATACTTATGTATTGTGTGACTTTTGAAGACCTAATTTTGAAGGTTATTTTAAGGGGGTTGTATCATACATGAGGTATAAAATTAGCATATATACTGCTGTCCCTGTTTTGTGATGTCAATGAACACTCGTTGCCACTTTTGTGATGCCAAAGAACACTTGTCATTTTCGTAATGCTTGTTGTAGTAGAGACTTTGTAATCACAGATACAACTATAATATGCCGTTGAACAATGCTGGTGTCAGATGCTTTCGAATAGCACTCGTACTAATAGTACTTGCTTGATAATACTCACCCAATCAGTAATCCGTACAGTGATCTGAATAGAGAAATAGTATAGTGACTAGAGTAGAGAATAGCAGTCTGTATAGTAATAGAGGATAGAGTAGAAATAACGATCTGTATAGTAACAGAGGATAGACTAGAAAATAGAGATCGTTAGTCATCAGCTACTTCCTACATATATGCATTTCCTCTATGGTCACATGGTTGTCCATTTAATTTAATAATGGGATCACCTGTGTTTGCTTCCTGGTGATCTATGTTCAAACTCAAGTGTCGGCAGTGACACTTTATTCCTATATAACATGC